TCGTTCAGGAAACTGCCTCGCCCTTGACTCACCTACCCATTTTTCAATTGCAATTTCTAAGGTGTTAAGAAAGAAGTTTTGTTTCCACATTTTATAACTCGCAACTTGAAAGATATCTTTTCGAATTTCAAAAACTTCTCCAAAATATCTTTAGTATATGAAGGACGAATATTCTTTGTGCGATTGACTTTTCTGACTTTAGAATAAACTTAAAAACCGCGAACGTGTTCTAAATTCGTTTACTGCCAAGTATCAGGTTCTTCCTACAGTTATCCTGTTTAATGTGCTGATTTGTTACCTATGCTACTGAAGCAATTATACGTGCTACGCTATCAGCAACAAAATCTGCCAGAATATAATTCGGCATTTCCCGAAAGATAATAGCATGTTTAAGGAATTAATCTTGTAATGCGAAAACGCGTTCATTTTTGAACTGCAAAAAACCGCAAGAATTGCAAGCCTGATGGAATTATAACTGTGAAACCATAAATAGAACATTAACGTTATCTGGATTAAGGAATCAAACAAAGGTTGCATGAACCATAGAATGGTGTTAAATATAGCATTGTTATAATTGAAAACAGCAATAAACGTTGACTCATAACAGACGTTTGTATGCAGAGCAGGTTCGAAGCACTGGATTGTAATAAATTATAATGCATCTTTCATGGATCGCTTTGGCGACACAACTTCCGCATTGCCATGATGGAAACAGTGCTTTTAAACACAAGACCGGGTTTGTTATCTCGGCTTAGCTGTGACAAATGGAAATCGGGCTGAATTTATTACTACAATATTTTCAAAGTGAAAAAAATCAATCGAATTTATATGGAATTTTTGGAAGGAAAATTTATTTAAATTAGGCTCTCTTACTCTCTACATACTTGGAATTTGATGAAATTGAATAATGTATTGTAAATTTTTATCAAGTATTCCGCCCTTTGTGTTTGCCGTATCGTAATTCCGAAATTGATGTGCCAACTACAAAAGAAAATGATTAACATAGTGCTAAGACGCACTTTGGGCTGAATAATTATGTTACCTTACATGTATCGAGACCATTAAAAATCAATCGAGGGTAGTAAGAGCAGAATGGGATACTTAGCGTTTGAGGTTTAATACTGACCAGAAAATTGCAGGAAAAAATTGATTTTGATGTAATCCTAGCCTCGTCAATTATGCCTTCTTGTCAGGCTTAGAAATTAAATAAATATTTGGAAAAGCTCAAGTAAGAGAGCTAATTAAATAAGTGAATTTGGCCTCATTCTGTTCCAAAGGCGGGGCAAAACAGAGTGTATAGTTTTCCCAGAATTCAACAATATTTGATCAGTCGTTTAGTTGTTATCATCATGAATCATAATGAAAAAATGCAGGTAAAATGTGGGTAAAGAAAAAAAAGAAATGTATCATTATTTAAAAAATTGTGTTGCACGGTTTGGAAAACAAGCGTTGACGTTGTATTTCTATTTGCAGCATGCTGAAACAATTCACACTTCTATTGATCTGGATGAGGCTGCAAAAGAGGCATTCAGTTTTATACAATTCCAACTTCTTAGGCTGCTTTTCGTATCTACCTCTATTCTGATTGTTTGACTGAGAACATCAATTTCATTCTCACTTGTTCGATTTTGATTTTATATACATTTCAGAATAATATTAAGTATATGAACTGAACTAACCCGCTGACCCATAAAAATAATTTTTTTTGTGAACGCAGAATTTTTTTTTAAGTTGACCTATTTTTCAGATGAAATAAAAACTGTTTCCTCTTTAGATCGGGTTAGCTTTTTTTTGTTGAAAGTTGGAATGATTGTTGGTAGTAAAAATTAATTTTACAATAAGCTAAATTGAAACACATATGTACTCACAAGGGCAGAAAGACCGTGCGCCTTTTTCTTAGGAAATAAAGATAATTTATACTTAAGATAGATATATATTATATTTCCACCTGTCTGGTGATTATATCGTATAACTGCCAATTAATTGGTATTGATAAAGCAACTTCTGAACGGTTTCGGCCTAGCAAAGAAGCAGGGAAAGCAAAAAAGATCTTGTACACACTGAGAGAAAGAAAGATATTCGATGCTTTCCATGAAGATCAATCTGCTAACGCATTTAAAATGTCTTCTGAGTTTTATGTTCTGCGGGAGTGTCATCATCATCATCTATTAGTAAGCCGCTATTTCTTTCAATATCAGTGAAATAGATAATCAGCTCCATTAAAACATGTTTGTCGGGAGTAAAATTCAGGGTTTTGAGAAATTTGTTTATTAGGATGCTGCGCTCCGTTCTGACCCACCTTCCCCTGTATGCACAGTACAACATAGAAGCTTAATAGAGATGTCATTTCAGCTATTTCTGGAATTTGAGCAATATACTCATAAGTACAATATACTGCTTCAAGCATTTATAACACTCATAATCCTCTACTTTTTGAAAGACACGATTCGTAAACTTACAGTGTATGGTAAATTTGTTCATTTCTCTTTTTTTATCAAACTTGTAATCTGATCACGCTAATTATATGGAAAATGCATTTAGCAAACTTCTTCAATTATTATTAAAGTATAATAAAAAAGTATTTTCGTAACGAGACTTGATATGGATTGCGCCTCAGCATCTAATTTTTCTTCTTCTTTTATGTCCTGTTCTCATTCTGTGTTATTCACCACTTTTACTACTCTCATTTACTACCTAGGTACCTCAGAATAACTTACTATGAGACGTAGCTAATTTTACTTATCTATCTGTCAGTTTAGCTTTAATAGCTTCATCAAACTAGACGAGTTGCTTGCAACAAACCGCAAGCACAAACCTTTCTGAATCCGTCAATCAATTATTTACCACACTTTAATTGTTTGGGCCTGTTGGGGTCCAGATATATCGGGAAAGCAATTACATTGGTTTATGGTTTGTCTTACCTGATTTCTCTTGAAATCTTTTATCGAGCATTTTATAAGGGTAATTTATTATCAGAAGTTCTGTTACTCATTTGGTACACTTTTACAGTGACAAAATTATCAAAAATGCAATGCTTAAAAGTGTCCAAATTGAAAGCATTTCTAAATCAGTTCCTTTGCTCTATTAAAATAAAGAATAAATTCAGATAGCAAAGTACTTATCAAAATAGAGTAATTTATTTCATCATGCTAGCTTATCGGAAAAACATCTTTGGACCCGTTTAAGGTCTAGTTTAAGGCACGCGATTTCTGCATAAAATTGTCCGAGCAACAACCCGGAAGGAACTTTCAAAATAGGGTTTCTTTAAATTGGAATGGATAAATCAATCCAAACTCTTCCCAACAAACGGGTCAGTAAAATTAGCTGCAATTTGTAAATGTTAGGGTAAGTTATTTAAGGTTTACTTTGAGATTGTGAGATCTGGCGATTCAATATTTATTGTGTTAAATTATAATATACTAGTAATAGTAGAAAATATTTTTCCGATTCCCCACAGTTGCGGTTTTTGCTAATATCTTATCTCAAAAGTTTCACTTCACGTAGTCAATTATTAATTTAATGTTATCCCTTAGGAGCGCGTGTGACGCAATTTAACAACCATTTCTTGCAGGCAAATAGAATTTCCGATGTTTCGTTTTGATTAATTCATATCCTTTTAGGAGCGAGTGGGCTCACTTTCTAATTAATTTCCTTCATTAGCTGGATGCTGCTAGAGATCGTGGATTTATTTCAATTATATTAATTAAATCGGACATGAATAAGAACAGGTGATAATAGCTGCTAGTTGATCGCTTTTGGGTAATGTATACAGCTTAGGTCTGAATAGTTTTGTTTTCATTAAGGCATGAAATTAACTTAAAAACGTTTCCAACTGGACTGCGCGCTTGGTGTAAAAAGGACTTTTATTTGATGATTGATTTTAATTGATTCGTATTACATAACTTGTCATGTTATTTTGATGGGACTAAAAATGTCCTGATTTTCATACATTTCGGATCTCGACAAAGACGAGTCGAGATCCGAAAAGTTGATTAAGTTGTAATATAAAATTACCTTAAAACAGATTGGTAGCGACTGATTTCACTGATTTTTTTTGTGTTTTGGGGCATTGAATGGGCATTGGCATTGAATCGTATAAACGTTAACAAACTTGATTGTTATTAAACGATACTGGCTTCATAGAACTTTTAGTTTGCCTCTATTTAATTATTTAATTAATTGAAAACGAATTAAGTAAATATTTATTTAATGAGTTTACATAAAGAATTTCTTACTTCCAATAGCATAGACGCAAAAATAATCAAGTGTAAACATGTGAAACAACGTATATTTCAAAAACGTTAAAAAATGCCTGATGATGGATTTTACTGAACATTTAGAGAGGTATCTATCTATCCTCCTTAAGCGTCGAACGAAACTCCAAATCTGCAAAGAAATAGAATTGAATACTATTTTAACTTGTTACCGAATAGAATGCCAAATAATCTTTTGGATAGAGACGGTTGAGAGCTATTTTTGCCTATTTAGGTTTAATTGGAAAATCTTAAGCATTGCAGAGTTATATGCAAAAATGTGGAATTTTGCATGACGATATTCAAGAAGTTATATCTGAGTAACGCATCAAAATTTCTGAAGAGTCGCAAACAGCTTTTTGGTAGAACGCTTCAAAAAATGTCTGTGTTTCGACAGGTTTTTTTCAGAACTTCTATACAGACTCTTTTGGTTGTATTTAAATTTGTATAGTATATTTCTCGCGATGATTCCTCAACTTTTTATATTCCGATATTTTTAGGATAAAAAGACCATATAGGCATGGGACCCATGGCATGGCTTCACCTATCGAGCTACAAGGTGTTGATAAATTACTTTTAGTTTTTGTTTTTTCATATAATATCGATATTTAGACGAAACCTGTTATTTGGGTGTTTTGGAACATGAGAAATTTGCGTCGATTACTTTAAATCAACACATTTTTGTTTGCAAATTTTTAACACATTCGTCGATTCTTTCACATCAAAATGTATCCAAAACGTTTGTCCGTAGCGACTTTTGATAAGTAAGTTAAGTTCACGCATCTTCACTATGCACATATTCAAATATGCATTAAAGAAAAGGTACAGTTACTGTCCGAGTTTACGGTTAAACTTTCAAACCATTCTAATTCAGTTCATTTGTATCGTGTAATTAATAAAGACCTGTTTAAAAAAAAATGAAAATATTTTACTTTTTTACGTCAAAATGATAAAATAATTCATTTATTTGCTAAACATTGTGATACAATGATGCATGGAGAAGTTTATAGTATGCCGTCTTATGAATATTATAAATACTTATTAGAAACACCCGGTATATAGATTTCGAACGAAACTGTAACTTGTAAATGTGTTCTAATAAAAATCAGCTTTAAATCAATTTTATTCAAAATAATATTCGCGGATGAAAAGTTCTTCCAAATAGGAAGTTGCGAAGTACCTAATATTTTATTTAGAGGTTGATTTTAATATTTATGGATTTAAGGAATTATTTGTTACCAGTTGCGTAAAAATATGTCGGAAACTCGTGGATATAATTTTGGATTCATAGGAAAGATCGAAGTATAGTTTTCACGGATATAAAAGTCAATTAAGAAAAATATTGGATCCTTTACACAAAAAAAAACGTTATTTTATTAGCATCTTTAAAGATCTTCGATGTAACCAGAATTTTGGGCAATGTTTTCGTCGAGAACTAATGCCGGCGAAAAATTTTACTATTAAAGTTAGTTAAAAAAATTGCTAAAAAATGTTCCTAAAAAACCAAACCAATTAAGAAAAATGTAAAATACCTATAAGAAATCGCAAACTTAACGATGAAACTTAAGATAAAACGATAAATGATAAATCGTAGCGCTTCCACGTTATTTTACCAAAAATCCGCATTATTGTCCTGCAAGAACAATTAAGTAATTCTTTTTCAAATATTCCTCCACCGCACTTTGCACCGTTCTGTGAAAATTAGAATAGCTTGACATAAACATTTTACTCTCATCTCAACATATGCATTCAAACAGTCATTGCTTGCCATAAACAAGAGCTTGTAACATACATAATTGAAACTAGCGCCCATTTACTGTAGCCAAAACAAGTTCCAAGCTTCGCGATAGCTAAAATGACTCGGTTGATGGAAACTGAAATACTTCTGATATCTGGATTAATGTCTCAATTGATATTTGTTAATAATTTCTTGTTTTTTTTCAGGTTGGAAGCATTACACGATCGCCTCCTAACCGGGACAATGGCTCCGGGCCAAACTCCCCGGATCCAGAAAGTCGCGAAGTCGAAGCCGATCTTCTGGTCTCGCCGGCGTCAAGAAAGGACATGCCCGGATTCTTTAGAAAGCTCCTGCGACTTCTCAGGAAACTATGTAGTACTCATCAGTTTAAAAACGAACAAGTAGGTGTCGGTTAAATAACGAATTGCTCTAATGATTATTGTTCAATTTTGATGATGATACTAAAAGCGCACCGGTTATTTTTTTAATGATTGTAGACATTACTTCTGGGATTCACTGTATAATAAAGTCGATAAATATACCTACTATGGGAAATTGGAGACGTATAAGAGCAGTAAAAGTGGTCATAAAAGTGGTTGCATATTTTTAAAATATGACCTAGCGAATTCCTTTAGGACACCAGTCTAACAAATTGCAAACATAACTAACTCACACAAACATTTGAAGTTCCAGCTTTAATATACTTTTCAATTGAATTTATCGCCGTCCTAACTCCTCAAGTACTCAATAAATTAAGTGGTAAATGTTTTAAAGTAGTTACGAGAGTTCAGGTTTGTTGCACCAAGTTACGATCTATAACGCCCAGTTGGAGTAAATGTAACGGAAATCTGGTCAAATGGGTATCTAAACATTTTATCGTCAACTGCAAATCGAGCACTTTCTTCCAAACTCTATTTTATATACATCCAGGTGGTTAAATTAGACGAGCAATTTATTTACACGTTTGTTAAATAATGTTTTTGTGAGTAACAAAACCACAATTCAATCGACACTGAACCTGAAAATCAGTTCAAATATTTTTTTTATGTGCTTTCATGATTTACACAATTAAAACATTTTCTTATCATGAAAAAAACTATTCCATATTTCTTGAATATTATCTCCCATTTTCGATAACCTTATGCGAAAATGCACACATTTCACAGACTGAACATAAGAGCCTTCCTTCTTTAGGAATCCGTAATAAGAAACGTGAGAAACTTACTTTTTGTAAATGGCAAATTTTTTTAAATTTTTTGAGAAAGTTAGAATATTTAATAACGCTAATCCTGGTCATCAAAATGAAAAATTACAAGAAAAAAACGATTGAATCTATCCAGTTTTATTAGGACCGAATTCAACAAATTGCAAATTCTTTACATTCCGAGTTCACACAAACATTTCAAATTCCCGCTCAAGTATATCATTGAATCGAATTTATCCCCGTTCTAAATTAATTCGTAAATGTTTTAAAGTAGTTCCTAAAGTTCCGATTTGATATATTAAGCGGTCTATAACGTCAAGTCACGATTAAAGTATGCGAAACCTAGTCAATTGCACATGATTTTATTGTCATATGAAGATGTTTTTCAACAAAATGTATTTCATATACACGCGTGGTTAAACGAGGCGAGAAATGTACTCTGAAGTAAAATTATGCAGGCTAATTTTGCTAAGTTATCTTTTTTATGTGTGTTTAATGTAAATGTTGTTAGATTTATTTTACAGACTGAAAAACAATTTCGATTAGATACTGAACATAAAAATGTGCTCAAATAATTCATTGATGTCAATACATTTTCTGAATATGAAATTTTGTGGTTCCATTAACTTCAACATTCCTTATTAATTAGAATAATTGACGAGACCAAGATCTTTGTCAATAAACTAAAATACAAATGAAGAAAAATATAGAAAGGGGTTAAATGCAGTTTTTTGTATAGTAATTCATAGTATTAACTTTACTGATTGAAGAATTGTCAAAAAAAACTTAGGAGAAAGACAAAGTTTTTATTTCAGAAAGCGGAAAAATTACAATTAAATTAAATTACAACAATGCAATACGTCTATTACTTCTCACACAAATGTTTTGCTACACTTGATATATTTTACAATTAATGAATTTTGACTCAAGCTTTTATCCAAATTTTTTAGAGAATTTCTAAGAAACTTTATTATGCAACGGACCAGAAAAATTACATCTTTTTTGACATTGAGAAAACTTATTGCGTATATTATATACCTCTATGAATAGAAACAATAAGCTTTCTAAAAGTCTCTTTTCTTTCAGGTTGAAATGTTATACCAAAGATATTTTCTGAAAATGAATCAAAGCAATATGACGAATTTGATATCGCTGTTATTGCTTCTCTGCATCGGATTCATATTGCTTGGCGCTGTGGATTTTGTGCTGCCGCGAGTGGAGGATTTTCATTCCGCTTTTGAAGACTCACCCCGCTTAGATTATTTAGTTGCACTTATGTGTACTTCGGCTTGCTGTATTGCTGTATATGGCGGTAAGTTTATAGACAATATCTGTATTTTAGTTTCATTGAAATTTCATTGTATTCAATTTTATTCTGTATTTTGCAAAAATTTTAAATTTTACTTGCCTTAGACTGCTGAAGTTGAAAGGTTCAAAAAGTTTCTTTTATCACAAAAGCCCATATTGCTAAAAAAGTTCAGACTCTGTTGTTACATAGTTTATTTACGAAGAGTTTTGTGTCCGAAACTTCTAAATGATAGGGATTTTTCGCAGCTTGGAATAAGAAAAATTAATTGCTTTCGGCAGGATATCCTGCCTAAATTTATAATTATAATTTATTTACGTATTTATTTGAACACGTATTAATCTACAGGTTTATATTGGTGGCCCTAACAATTTACAGCTATTTACTAGACATTTTCTCATTCGCAAATTAGTGTTATTAACTTCGTTTAAATATACGTTATTAACTAGGTCACACATTCTACCCGGTTGAAGCATTGAAAAATCAATCGTTCTCTAATGAGAATTAGAATCTAATTGAAAAATTGTGGCTACAAAATGGCTTTCTAAAGCAAATTTAAAGTTAAATCCCATTGAAAGATAAACAAATAAAAAAAATTGTAAAAGAGCAGATTTTGTTTACTTTGAAGCATCTACTACAGACTATAAGATTTGATCAATTTTTAATTTTGCGTTTAATTTAAACTCACTGACAGTTTTATTTTATTGTGATTGCAATATAAAATACCCATAGAATTAACAAATTAAAAGCGTATTGACATCATGTACCACTTTATAATTATTGTGTGGAAAACCGCCGGATAATGTGGGTGTTTCCAACAAAGTGCTTAATACAGCATAATGATGCTGCCATTTTTGGTTATCAATTTAGGAATTAGAGAAGGGTCGCTTTAATTTAAATTATAATTAAATAATTCAATTTAATTAATCGAGGTTTGGAACAAGATAAATTTTGCTTTAACGCGTTTTCTGAACAGTTACGTACATACCATTTTACCAGCAATAAATGAATCAAACTTATATCAGTTCTACTAAATTTGATTTCCTATTTAATTAACTCGAATAATATTAATATATTTGTCTATTTAATAAAATTAGTTGCGTCCAAAGGCCTCTATAAAATACGGTACCGTCGTTCGGTGTAAAGTCGGACGATTTTTTCAACTTTTTCTTAGTAAAAAGTATAATTTTGAAAATAAAATTTCCAATAAAATAGTTTAGAGTCTTTCGTGTCTCCTTTGTCGAATTCCATAATAAAACAAATAAACTTTTTATTCCCCCCTGTTTTTTTTTGATAAAGGATAAAGGGTGTCAGCCTTGACCTCTATGTGTGAGATAAAGGCGGACGACCGTTTATTAAGCCAAAAAAATTAAGTTAAAAACGTTCTTAGCACCTAGTAAGAGGCGTATTCTTATTCTTGTTAAGTTTGTCTTCTTCTTATGAAATTAGGCACCATCCGCCATGTTTCTTCGTTTTTATCCTGTTTTTTTTTAACTTTTTCTGCCTTGTTGAATATCTTCAAGTGCCTTAGCGACGTTTTCTTCATTGTGGTTCTTAAAATTAATACCGATTTTTGTTTTATGCTCCCTAACCATGGTGTCTGCCTTCACTTCTAGAAAATGCCTTTTTTTACTAAAACGCATTTAAGACAAAGAATTATATTTTCTAATGAAATTGCCATGGCTTTACTAACAATAGAGCATATCAGAAAAATAACTCATTCGGATTTTTAATTTTTAGTGTGATTCTATTGTGTGCAACAATATCTTTAATAGTTTTCAAATTTCAGGAAAAAATACAATTCATAAAATCCTCACGACGTGTTTTACGGCGAATTTTTCCTGGGAAACTGTATACTACTAATGATACTAGCAACTTCACTGACGGGAATTTGAGGGTTGGGTACTTTTCTACACAGTTAATCAAATGATTGGCGAAATAATTGATTAATAACGGTCTGTCCGAGTCCGCCCCACAGTCCGACTTCACCCCGAATGGCCGGTCCCAAAATTATGAGAAAACTAACTAGGTACACTAAAAAATTCGACGACTAACCCATTCATGTAATTTTACAATATTTGTATAGAATTCCAATCAGGCTAAAAATTGGAAATGGAAATTGGAAATGGAAAAATTGGAAAAGATTAGAAATGGGAAATATATTTTTAAAATCAATTCTTAAAGACTCTCATAATGGCTTTCCTTAACTCACGTGGTAGTAAAAGTCTTCTTAATAGAAAATTAAGACCAAACTATATTGTTTATTCGGCGTGATTTCGTTTCGGTTGAATTTGCAGAAAACACCCTCAAATGTTAGCAAACAAACCGTTCTTGCGCACACAAACGCTTTTTTCGTATTTATTATAGCAAGAAAACTGATTTTTTTATGGATCCGGATTTAACACAAAATGCACTCCAATATCATTTGTTGTCACACAACGGTTCGTACGATAACAGCTCCGCATTAAGTACATATATGCAAAACATTCAAACACTAAACAACAGCAATATGAAATGAACGATGCGATAATGCGAAATGCTGCTTTAAATATGAATATAGCAATATTGTTCAACATCCAATAATTCCCCATGAAATCCGTTTAGTCACTAATTGAATCAATAGGATTGTATAACGAGTATAACAGTTTTCGTATTACTGCATTCAATGAAATTAGTTGTTTTAATCAATCAAGAATAAGAAATTTTGCGAAGTGGAATACTTTTAACTTGACTGCATAATTAGTATCAGGGTTGTTTATTGCAACATGCGGATTGGGACTAAAGTTTATATGTACAAACTGGCTGATTCAAAATTGGCTCATACATAAAAATAAGAAAAAATTCTGACACTAACTGAGATATTTGAAAAAAACTAAATCAGAAATTTGCCAACAGTGTTTTATTTATATTGCACCTCAAAATTTAGATTATTATTTTAGACGTAAATAGACAAATACAACATGTGAAATTAAAAAACAAATAGGAAAAAGATTGCATTTTTCTGATTGAATTGAAAATTCGTGCTTCTGTTCGTATGAAAAATATTAAAAATTTCAAATTAATTTTTTGAATTGAATTTCTAAAGGAATGATATAAACACCCGCATCACAGGTTTTCTCACAAATCTGCAAAACGCGTCATATAACTGATCAACTTTTCCCCAGAATCTTACTTCACAACATTAGTTTTCACTGCGTCAACTTTCGTTTTCTTCACCTGTCGCTTCCTCAGGAGAGTCAATTTGCTTGCAAGCAACAACATCGAGGCGTTCGTGCCTCTACGTGTGACTGATTTAGATTTAGAGGACGCAAAGTAAACTTTATGCATGTTTGACATTGTTATCCGTTTTGCCAGGTTTTGATAAAAAATTAGATCTTAGGAAAATAGCAATACTTCCAAATAAGCAATTCACGTAAATTTAATCCACATTCGCAGTCACATTTACTCATTTTAGGTCCACATTGCACACTATCTGACACTGTAAAAAATAAAGACAAAGTTTCCCAAACTGTTCTATAGATGTCGACTTTACAACTCGTTTATAACCAATTTGCTAGAGGAATTTTGGTCGATGAAAACACTTTTCTCTTGGACACTCTATGTAATCATCCATTCTATGAAATTCACCTTAGCATGTTTCACTCCGTTTTGCGGCAACCGTCGCAATCAATATACAAGCCCATGTTCATTCAATAGTAAAGGATCAATCCGCATGATTTTCGTTCCGGGTATCACATCAATCTGAACACAGATAGTTCGAAATAAATTTCCTCTGTAGCCCACGAGACCAGTATACTATTATCAGCACTGTTTTCGTTTGCAGTAAATTCTCATTTTCCTCTTTACTGTGAAACGCAATATTGTCTTTTCTGCTGCTACTGCTAGATTCGTTCCGGTTAGGAAAAGGACGACTGAGCATTGAAAAACATGACAAAACGTTATATAAAGAGTGTGCAAGATATTTGCAACTAATAATATGTTGTTATTTTGAAATCGTATTCTTATAAATAGTTAAAATTTGCAGACAAATTGAGACATTGAGACATGAATTGCTCAAAGCCGTGATCATGTTGCACACATTTTAAGATCAAGTTCTGTTTGTTTTTGGTTATAATTTACTTTGTCGTTAAGCACAACCTTAGAGGAAGCTTAAGAACGTTGTTTAACTTCTATTTTAGAAGCTCAGTTAATAATGACTAATAATATAATATCAGTTTCATAATTAGACATATATTTCAACATAAATTTAATAATTTTTCATTTCCCCCTTTTTGCTGGGGCTTTTTTGATTGACAGATATCGTTTGTGAGGAAATTTTTAAATTATTTTACAGAAAATTAGTTTTTTCCTTTCATTAACTACTATTACGAATATTAACTATTATAAATATTATCTTTTTACTTTGAAACTCTAACACAAACGTACTTCGTATTATAATCTTTATCTCTTATACCATTACTGTAGTAACCATATTGCTCTACATCGTTGCAGAATGTTCGATATTTGCTCCGCTTAAATCAAAGAGGTTTTGCGGAATTTTGTCATGCAAGGGACGTAGATAATTTGTCCCAAAACCCATATGTCAATTTCTGAAGAACACTTAGATTTGGGATTTAGGAACGCCTTAAATGTTCTTTTTATCTCTTAAATATATTTTATGGGTAAAAGACATGTTAGTATCAAATGGGGCCAGTAAAAGACGCCAAATAAATTGAAGTGAACAAAAAATTAAAAAAAAAACGGAACTTGGTTTAGTCACTTGAAATATTTGGACTTTGATAATTTGTAGAGCATGTATCCTAGCAGCTAATGTATGCTAAGTATCGAAGAAGGAAAAGAATTAACATTACTGGCAAATTAATTTTCAAAATACCCAATTGCAAGGAAAACTTTCCGCAAAAAAAATCAAGTGGCAATCAACGATAAAAAGAGACGGTCGATTATGGATTATCAAATGATTGCTGAATGATATCAATTCAAAAAGTCACTAACTTATCAAACGACCCTCGTAATTCTTGGCTTTACATATCGCAAAATAAAAGCTATAAATAAATTTACTAATCGATAATTTACTGCTTATAAGATTATATATTTACTGATTCAAATCAAATACTCGGACATTCATCGTCGTTATTGCTTTCTGTCCAGTCCTGTATAGAAAAACTTTCGCTTTTTGTGAAAAATTTCCGAAAACCCTACAACTTTAACGTTTCAACTTTTTTATCTGCCAAGCAAAAATAAAATAATATCACACATAATTTCATGATATAAAAAATGTGTGTAACTAACAGAGCACAAAATAGCAGGTTACGAGATATTCTCAGGTAAAAAAATGCTTTTCAGACAAAACTGTTCTATAAACTGAACTGAATTGACGCCAAGCTGAAAAAGATGGCTTTTACAACTTGATCTGGACAAATCTCTTTCTAATGTATAACTTCGTGCCTATTTTGAACGTGTCAGCAATTTTAATATTATGTTATAGCGCGTAATAAGTACCGAAAGAATCAATATCAAAACTAAACATACGAGTAATAGCAAAAATATAGTAACGCTGGCTGCGGAATTATAGTCCCCATTTTTAAATAATTTAGTTAAGCATCGATAGTATGGATTAGCTTGCAAAATGTATAACACTGATTTTTTTTGTTTCAGTTTTACTCACGTTTGTTTCCAAGCCTGCGATGAATGAAGTGTACTTGATTATTATATCCTATTTTATTTTATTTACCTTCGTAGTACTACAGGTAAGTCTAAGTATATGCTACGGGCTTCTTTTTAAGCGCTAAGTATCGACTAGTTTAGAATTTAAAGACTTTCCTGGCTTTCTGTATAAAAGTGGATTAATTTATTTTAGTTGCAATACACTTATTTAAATTACTTCAAATTGTATCCTCACAGTTTTGCACAGCAAACTGTCCAGTTGCCATTTGCTGATACTACAGTTCTCACAATGAAAAATTGAAAATGTTTCGCAAAAAACGATTTATGGTCAACAAAAAGTTCTCGCATTGAATACTTTACAAGCTTTACATTATTAATTTCGCTTGTTTTAAATGTACAATTAATCTCTGTTTGGTTCAAGCTTATAATACTCCAAACATCGTGTAATCTGCATGTTTAAAGCGAACAAATTTATAATCCAAAAGTTGGAATTACAAGCTGCTACAACGGCAGAAGTTTCGTTATATTAAAACTCAACACAACATTGCAAAGTTCGCATAACCACAACAATAGGCTCAAGCACGAAATCGCTTCTTCTGCAAGTTTTCAGTTCAAAAGTAAGCAAATTTAGTTCTTCAGCACTCACGTGATTCTTAATTGATTTGCGAATTTCCTCAAGCCTGCTAGTAAAAGTTGGCAAATTTAATCTACAACTAGTTGGTGCAATATGGATTGAAAACGGTAAACATCGCATAAATGTATAGTTGTAACATATCTCCTCGAATAAACGTCACATTCATTTATTCTTTGAGTGTTCATGTGAAAGTTTGCATAAAAGAAACAATCCATGTTGAATTAAAATACGATAATACCTAATAAAATCGATAAAATGTATGTGAAAAATATTTGTTTTGTATAAGAAAGCATGTGTTACATTAAGGATGAGATACATTGAAAACTTTCTATATTATTTCAACATGTTGCAGCCGAATCTTAAATAATCCAAAATAACCGTATTTATAATTTTATACCTTATATAGATAATTTATTGCATAATGATCGTAATATCGTTGCGTATAATGTACACATTGAACGGTTATACGTTTGATCTGAATAATGCGACAGTAAATGGAATATCTTGAAATTTTCAAAAATTTATAAAAACATCTGCTTCTACCGCATTTAGAGGGTTTTCATCAACGTTATCGCAGCGAATTCCGGGGTTTCCATTATTCTTCCCGCTTTTTTACGGTTTATTCTTGCTATAACAATGAAAAATATATTTTTCAGTTCAAGAGTCACGCTGTCTAAAAGTGTTATTTTTGCGTCTTTATCATGCAGATTGTAAAAAATATTATAATTTTTCTTTTAAAGTCAGTCGGTCGCTTCCAAACTAAATAAGTTAAATTAAAGAAAAAAAACTCGTACCATTATATTAAAATTAATTTAATTCCGCAAAGAAAATTTCCGCTGTGAAAATAAAAGTTGTACAAGGTGTTACAAATTTAATGAATTGGTGGTGTCGTTTTGATCGCTTTAAGAGATAGAGAGAGCCGATGAAATAGAGGAAACATTGCACAACTTGGTAAAAAAAAATGTGTTTAAAGGAAGTTAGAAAACCCGTTTAAGTTTTAAATTTTTGGAAACTTGTGATTCGTGGTTTTAAAATCCAAAATCACTTTGCTAAAACATTAAGTGGATTCGACTTTTCTAATTATATTTTTTCAGGATTTCTAAAGCCAATATTCAGCTCATTTTCCAGAAAATATAGTGACAAAGTTTCCATTGCTAGGTAATATCTAAGGAACTATTAGCGTCAATTTTAAGCTAGTATTTTTCAACGTCTCGCAAATGGACATTGTAATTACCTTATGAGTTGAAGAAAGAAAGTGTTCTAATACAATCTAAGGAAAAGACGAAAGTAAAGAATAACCAAGTATTTTGTTTGTCAAAATAAAAACAAAACGGAATTTCCAGCGATTTTTCTCGATTAATATTTTAGTAATATTTGAAATTGTTACTCAAATTCATCCTGTTAATTAGGTGATTTTTGTTACAGATCTGTATAGCCATTTTCTTTGGCAAAGGAAGACCGCTGATTGGTGCAGCATTTGCCGTAATATCGACATATTTAACTTATGCACTTATGCCGAATCGACTGAAAGATGCCGTTTTATCTGGAGCGATTTTAGCTGTGATTGAACTAGTATTATTGATTTATGTAGGACATTTAAGGAGATTCTCAGATGTAAGTATCCAGTATTACCAAAAGTGTGTTGATATTGAAAAAAATCAATCAAAAGTCGAGTGAAAAAATTAGACTAATATGAAAATGTAAAAAAAATATATCAATGAAAAAAATTGTCACATATAGTTAATTAGCAAAAATCATATATGGAACATTGATTTCAAAGGCTCTTTGAAATGTTGACGGTGGATGAATTTCTATATACGGATTAGGATGTGGAGCGACAGCTTATTCATGCGGAGAGAAGGTTTTTGTTTCCAAGTGAAACAAAAAATTATTTCGAATCATATGGGGTGTGTATATTATTATAAGTATCGGATAACAATAGAAGGTGATTCAAATTTGGCGTGATTAATTTACTTAACGACTTTCAATTTCTTCTCTTAGTTATCGTTTATATTAGAATCGTTAAAATATTTCACATTCGCAGTTAATCGTAATATTAAAATAATCATGAATAGTCTGTTGAAAAACTTTTGTTACAGCTAAGTTTTTGCAATTTTTTTAGATTGATTTAACATGACAATGAATTTCAAACAATCAATCACATCAACTCGTTAAATTTAAGTTGTCCTGATAGAATAAATGTGACAAAAAATATGCGACTACGTTACATTTTTTTGAAATACTGCTATTTTAAATCTGAGGGATTTTTATACTAAAGGAAGGGTATTTTGTGCATCAATTAAAATCATTACTGTTCTGAAGTCAATCGAGAATCTTATAGGATTCGATTACTCGGCTTTGCTCGAGCCTTTCACGTCGATCTACGTTGCATTACGCTATGAGATGAAGCCCCCAGTGGATAAAATAGTGATGAAATGGATAATTAAAATAAAACAGTAGAAGCGAATCTGGGCATGAAACAAGAAGTTCATAATGGCTGTTCTGCAGAATCTGCATATAATCAAACAAGTGACGACATCGAAGACGAAATCGATTAAGATGTAATCGCACATGAGCTCAATTTAAAAATACGATGTGAAACGAATTCAAATTATAAACACATTAAAAGGAAAGACGTTACCTGGTTATTCACAAAATATGGAGGTCACTACTGATAGAATACTGATAGAAAAACAGTGGCATTGATGTTTGATTTTTTCCAGAAAAATTTGCTAGGCATAATTTAGGTCAAATATATTTTTCTTCTTTTTTTGTTGCTTCTTGGTTGGAAACAGATTTGGTTGCCTTTAATATAAGCATAAATAACTAGGGCACATTTTATTATTTTCATACGTTTATTT